TTGACTCGCCCATTCATTGCTTCGAGTTTCGTGCGGGCTCTCGTAGACAATTTTAGACGCCTACAGGAATGTTGGCACATCTTCGGCAACAGTAGGCTTTGCTATAATTCCAGTAGTGGGGCTAGACTGTGAGTCGCCTACAATTGGTAATAACACAGAATTGGAAGGAGACTTGTCCGTGGCTGAGCCTGGCTGAGCAGACTCTACAGGTTCTGGGACAGGAGGTATATCTTCTACAACATGAGAAGTAGTGGAGGCAGTATCATGAAGCGTGCCTTCGGGGACAAACTCCGCACCCCCTGCAACAGATTCATCTCCACGCTCTTCTTCATGCAATGAATGAGCAGAAGAATCATGGCCTTCTAAAGCAGGACTAACTGTGGGGAGAGCAGGCTGAGGCGAGAGTTCCAGGGCAGTCGATTCTTGTTCTTCTTCTTCAGAACGCCATGTTTTCTGAGCGTCCGACATAAGTTTGGAAGCAGGGGGTTCGAGCGTCAACTTCCGACGAGCCCTTTTGTCATACTGGGCTTCTTCGATCGCCCCCAGCGCCCTTTTTCCTGTGGCACTCTGACTCCGAGTCAGAACTCTTGAAGGTTCCACCCTGCGGGTATCCGATATCCTAATCTCTTCCTGAGCTCGCTCTGGTGACTGTTGTTGTTCGCCCTCTGTAATTGACTTTTCATATGACAAATATTCGTTGGCACCTCGGGCACGAAACCTTTTAGCCTCTCTTTTCGAAGCATACCATTTGCGGATGGCCTTCAAACAAGAAGTATTCATATTGTAAGCAGAAATCTGAGAAGCAGCCTGGTACCAGGTACAGAAGCTCAGTGAGGTACGGGCATTGGGCATCTTATGTGGCAGTCGGAATTTTGCTCCGGTACAACCAGCCACTGAGAAGAACCAAGCTCTCGCTCCTTCGTACACATTACCTGTGTATGCAAGAGTAAGGTTGGGGTTCCCAACATAGAGCTGATCATAGCCAAATTGTCGAGAAAAGCGATAAGGTTGATATGGTTCAATGAAACACTTCCTCCCTTGTCGAAAAATAAGATAGCCCGGACGAATATTTATGAGCCACCAAAAGGCACCTCTGCTAAGCATGGTAAAAGAATTCGGTCCCGGAGTGTCTTGATGAAGTTCTCCATACGCGCCACCCTCGAAAGCGGGAAACGTGCAAGCGATCTCATAGTTATAATCCCGTCTCAATATTTCACGGAATTTAACTTGATACCAACCAGCCCATTCAGAGGTTTCTAATTGCTGAACAAGAGGATTTGAAGTACCATTGGACTCAGGAGTCGTCAGTATCGAAGGACAGTGCAACACGAACCAAGATACCAAATAAATGTATGGCATCGGCACTCGAGGAGTGGGGGTTTGAATGATAGTCTTCCCGTCAGAATCCACTTCCCTGACAGCAACAAATTCGGAAGATAGTTCCCGCAAACCACTTTGTAAGCAGCACACCATGGCTGAAAGAAGATTCAAGGGTCGTCCATAAGCCAATAGAACGGCGGGATACAAAACTTCTACTGTAATAGCATCCACTGGCCTTGTGGGGACCACACAACGCTTCAACCAAAGAGTTAGAAAACCAGCAAACAAAGCCATGTCGGAGATTGGAACTTCTGCCTGATAGTGGAAACTTTCAAACGTGGTAAACGCCGGGAAGACATCCTCCTCAACCTCGCAAGTATAATGAGAAGTTGCGTCATTGATACGTTCCGTGATCTCCTCAAGGGTACTGGCCGCTAAGCGAGTCACCTCAGCTTCTTTGTCCCACAGATTGTGGAAAAGATATTCCGCCCATTGTCCTTGTTTCACGCCGCTTGCTCTTTTCCCAGTAATTTGCGCAGAAATGACACATCAATTCCCAATAAGTGTTGTAGATATCGGGAGCACCATTTTTCAGGATCTCTAATTCCCTGCTACCAGGGACGAACTCCTCATAAGGCAACTCTCCGAAAGACAATCCAGAGATCTCGAACATCTCGTGAAGAGCGAAGCCTAATTCACCAACAGGGGTGAAAAAGGTGCCGGTGTGAGGGTTGTAGAATTCCAGCATAGCGAAGAGTCCGCTGTAATTCGGAGGAATACCGTATCGAGTGGCTGTTATAGGAACTCTCAAATCCGAAATTCTCAAAGGTTCTTCTAGTTCCTCCAAGACGAAATTTATCATCCGGGCCCACCAGTCCGCATCACTGGAGTGAACCCAAGTAGGGGCCCTGAAATCCCGAGCAGGGAACTCTCCTTTGACAGAAATAAATGTTCTGATAAACACCTCCGCTAACTTAGCAGACTCTCCGACAGGGTGCTCTTTTTGGAATAAACCTGGCTTCAAAGCCATGAAATTATTGAAACCAGCGGGATGAGTACCCCGATGAGTGATGTGCCCCGTAGCAACACCGCCTTGGTCTTGAACAAGTTCCCAATTCATAGACCGCGGGATAGAAGCGCACTGATAATAAGAAATCGGCCACATCCGCTCCAAATTGGGAAGGAAAAGACGACGGTTGTTGACTACCTTCAGCCATTTGTAATTCCCCTCGGACATCCGCTTGGGGTCCATTTTTACAGAATCCCCGAATAGGAAGGACGGCTTCTTTAAAATCTCACGCTCTGCGGTTTCGAATTTGGCATTTGTAACCAAAGACCTGAGAGTCTCAGGAAAGGCTTGAGTGATGAGCTTCGACCGTTCTTTGTGGGTGTTCTGAAACACTGGATATTCAAAGGCGAAGCTGAAGATTGTATTCTTCTCCGCACCTCCCGCATGACCGAAGTAGTGGTTGAAAGAAAGAGGCTCTTTGGAGTAGCATACTGCAAATAGAAAAATTAGTCATAAGAAGTCTAACTCAAGAATACAAGGTTCAAACCTGCGTTCGGGGTCTTGAACGCAGGGTCTCAACCTGCATCCGAAATTCTAAACGCAAGGTTCAGACCTGCGTTCGGGGTCTTGAACGCAGGGTCTCAACCTGCATCCAAAATTCTAAACACAAGGTTCAGACCTGCGTCCAAAATTTTTTAAACGCAGGGTCTGAACCTACGTTGAAATTTCAGGAACGATGGAGCTAGCCATACGTTTAATTGGTAAACACTGAGAATTATCTTTTGAGTTTAAAGATGGAATACGGATCGCCAATCAAGGGTCGAAAATGAGAGATCTGTCAAATCGACTTCCAATGGGTCAATCTTACCATTGGTTGAAGGAACTAGCGACGAAGGCGTGAGAACTTGATCATCCCCGGAGGCTCTAGCCGAAGAAGCACCCTGAGCTTCGGCGATCTTCGATTTGGAAGCCATTTTCTTCTTCAGGCCCATGGCAACCGTGGCAAGGAAGACGAAGACAAACGAAATATTCGGGAACGGATCTTTTCCTCCGTTGAAGCGCTGGAGAAGATGAACAGGAGCTCTGTTAAGAAACTGAGTAAAAAAGGAGAAAAGTCGAATGACCTTTTGATTTGACCTCAGTAGTCTATTTATAAACAGCTGTAGCTGTCAAATCGAAACGAGATTTTAGGTAAAATCTCACCTGAAACGTGATTCTCGCGTTTTCAAAAAGAGGGGCTTCAGTTACCGAACGCACCCTCACGATTCAAACAGGAGAACGCAGGATATAGGCGTGCGTTCTGCCAATCTCAGCACATCATATAAATAACCCATTCAAAGGGGTTAATATTCCAAGTAATGGCGCTATGATCAAAAGAGAAGATAAAGCGAATTCCTCTGAAGCCAGTCTCCAGACTAAGCTGGGGGTTTAATCCTTCTTATGCAGGCTTGTGATTCTCTCCATCTATGATGAC